GCTGGCTTTTTATGCCTCCTCGAAGTGGTGGGTCTGACTTGAAATGAGCCCACTGTCCACCTTGGTCTGAGGATTGCATAAGTTTTCCGTGAAACACAGAAGAAGGACAGAAGGGGCGAAACGATTCCTGGGTTGGCGAGTTAGGCTGAATCCCTCCTGATGGATGCTAGTGAGATTTTTTCCAGATGTTTTGGGAAAGAGGAAGAGCAACGCGAATATGCATGCCATTTTCCAACCGTTTCTGGAACTTCTGGGAGGAACTCTTCCAGTGTTGCTCCCCTTAATCAACCAGTAAAAGAGCAAACTGCCTACCTTCCACAATTGCTTCTTTTCATCTATTAAGTTGTTTTTCCCCAATCCATACTATAATCAATTATGTGCCTATGTGTAGATTTTGTCTCTTTTTCCTTAATTGTTAATTTTGTTAATGAAAAATTCCTTCCAAAGTTACTTTGCAGAAGAGAACTCTGAAAGCTTTTCATGGTTTGTGTATGCTATTCTTACAATTAGAAGGAAAGCCAGAGGGAGCTTCCATTAAGCTAGAAGTACCATTGTCACAGCTAAGAAGAAAATCAAGTGCAACTGAGTTTTACCTTTCTACCTCATGGCTAATTTTTTTCCCCAGTCTCTAACAAGGCTGTCTACTTTCTAGTAAGCAATTCAAGTGAAGTCAATTAGTGTTTCATTATGTGCCATCAAGTTGTTTTCATCTCCTAGAAACCAAATGGATTTTTGGCATGACACTGAGTTCAGATACATGCAGTGATTCCGACTGATTGTCTGATCTTGGACTGATGAATAAACAGTTGGAAAGGAACTATGGAACACTGTTGTCTATATTATAACTGCAGCAAGATTACTGTATACACAAAGAGGGGGAAATTGGGCAATACCTACGACAGAAGAATGATGGATGAAGGTGATAGAAATTGTTGAAATGGCTAAATTGATTTGTTTGATGAGAGAAAAGACATCTACATTTACTAGTAACTGGGAACTTATTTATTTCCTGCTTTTATTATTTTTTGTAAATAATTCAAGGCAGCAATCATACCCAACTCCACTTCCTCCTCCTATTTTCTCCACAACAAGCACCCTGTGAGGAGAGTTGGTTTAGAGAGAGTGAAAGGCTCAAAGTCACCTAGCTGACTTTCATGCTCAAAAATGGGACTAGAATTCAGTTTCCTAGCTTGATACCTTAGTCACACTATTTAAAAAAGGAAAAGGAAACTTATGACTTATGGTTTTGATTATTAGCAGGGTGGGCTGTAGAAAAGATTGCCAAGATGTAACTTGAGAAAGATAAATATAATTGTGCTTATAGCTACTGTGAAGATTGGAAGCCATATCTTTATATTGCATGTTGCTTTATATAGCAATAGCATTTAGACTTATATACCACTTTATAGTGCTTTACAGCCCTCTCTAAGTTTTTTACAGAGTCAGCATATTGCCCCCAACAATTTGGGTCCTCATTTTACCCACATTGGAAGGATGGAAGGCTGAGTCAACCTTGAGCCTGGTGGAATTTGAACTGCCAAATTGTAGGCATCTGGCTGCAGAAGTAGCTTGTAGTATTGCACTCTAACCACTGTACCACAGTATGTTTGTTTTCTTCTCTTTTTTCTTCTCCTTTTTCCTTTATGTAGTTTTAGATTTTTCTTTTATCTTTATTGTTTATTTTATTTTAGTTTGCATTATTTCTTATCACTGTTGTCAAAGCTGTCAATAAATGTATGTGTGTCTATTTTATATGCTGTTTATCTCACTGTTGAAGCAACTTTATATTGTACATAAAGATTTTCTCCATGAAATCTTCTATCTCTGATCTGTTTTTTACAAGTCACCCAATGATGTATTCATTAGCAGGGTAACTGAATCCACTCACCTTGCTTCTGGTCATCCTCTTTCCTTTCACCTTTTCCAGAGACCTGTGTCTTCATATAATGTGTTTGGAATAGTTTATTTATTTACAACATTTAGAAACCCACTCATCTCCCCCATAGAGCAACTCGGTAGTGTACAAATGGACATAAATTAAACAATGATATATGTAAATATTATAATAGAAAACAGTCAAAAACAAGAATAAAATAATTAAAATTTAAAAGGCAGAGAGGGTCTTTGGGGCACCAGTTTTATGATTGTATGCTGTTCTATGGGCTCCAAGTGAACTGGCAGGGTCAGGTCTTTAGACATTCTTTTATTTATAAATGTTTATATATTTATACATTTATGAAATATTTAATTCATATATTTATTACATTTCTACACCATCCATCTCACTTAAGTGACTCTCACTGTTTACTACAACATAATAATTCAGTATAATCATCTAAATAAAAGCACAGATTAAAAATAGGATTAAGAACAAGTTAAAACTTGCAAGTTAAAAGTAAGAAATCAGAGTTAAAATTTTAGAATACTTAAGTTTCAGCCAGCTCCAGTGTTGCATCATACTCTTAGATCTTAATAGTCTTCTGGAAAAGCAGAAGAAGTGAGTGCTTGCTTCACCTCTGAGGTTGAGATGTTCTAAAGAGTTAGGGTACATACCAAGGTATCCTCAAATGCAGAAGTCCAAACCATCATATAGTAAATTCTTGATAACTCTGAATTCTTACTTACATAGGGAAATTTTTCCCAAGTAACCCAAAAATATTTCAGTTAAGCTATTCACTTTTCCAATGAAGCTTCTCTGTTTTTCACAGTTTACACCAATGTATATTAACCAAAAATTATAAGTCATGGGGGAGGGGAGAGAAAAAGCTGTATTTCCTTACTACCACTAACAACATACCAGTGAAGTTTCTGATATACTATGAAGGCTCAAACTCCCCTTAAACTCTTTTGCATAATCAAAGGTTTAGAAAGTTGTTGTGTTTTTAAAATAATTAAATATCTAGCAATATGCTGGAGTAAAAACATACTTTGTGAATCATTAAAGAAATGTAGAGAAGATACACACATAACCACATCAGTAGGGAGATATCAAGTATAAAGAGTTTAATTTTAAGAGTTATATCTATTTTATAAGTGAAGCTAGAAGGCGATTAATCAAAGTCTAACTCAGAACCCTATGCTCAGGCATTTAGTCTCATGTCAGCACTATTTTTCATATAACTAAAAGCCTAAAAACTAAAATGTTATTAGTGCTGATGTAAATCATCCACAGACATCAAGATCCAAGTGAAATACAGATCAGTGGCTTCTAAAAGATTTCACTTGTGGTATTAATGAAAATAAACTAGAACCAGAAGTAGATGGGTTAAATCCTGCTGCCAAATTAAAATACAGTAGAAATCATGGATGTCCAAGATATTGGTTGAATGATTTTGTAATCTGGAAAGAGAGGCAAATTGATCAGTCAGAGTTATGTATATACTCACATCTAACAGATAATAGACTAGTAAAGCAAGGGAGGCTAGTGATGTATCCCATAAACATTCCAAATGGCAAAGTTCTACCTTGCAAGTAAAAGACATTCTAGAATAAATCATTAACACCAGATGTGCATATTATAGAGTTGAGCAAAACAGGAAGAAATTTTCACAAGGATCCTTGGTAATTAAGTGTTGAAAGTTTTCATGAGTTGTTTTAATATAATATCCTGGTGACCCTCCCCATCCCCCCAATAACTGGGGAAAGGGGGCTAACAGGAAATAGAGCATGATGTGTTTAGAGAGAAATGTTTAAATATATGCATCTTTAGTGATATGAGCATAGAAATGTTTAAATACAGTATACCAGAGTTATATATCTTATGGTGCAAAACCAAACATTTTCATTTTTATTATTTAATTGATGGGGTGGGCCTTTAGTTTTGGTAGGGGGATTGTTTATAAAAATGGCATTTACTGATCTCTAGAAAAGCCAATATGAAACGTCTCTTCCCTCACTTTCTTATTTGTGTTGCATTGAAGCATTTAAAACATGGCATCTTTAAATGTAGTCCCAGTGTTCTACCACTATTTTTCAAATAGTCCCTTCCTTCTAGAAAAGGAAAGGAGCCTTGCCTACTTGCCCTTCCCCTGACACTGAGTGCCCCTTCTGCCCACAGCATTATTTCTGAGGTCTGTGGATGACTTTCTGTATTTTCTGTCCTTACATTGCATGGACCAGGGATGTCAAACTCAAGTCCTGGGGGCTCGATCTGGCCCACAAGGTGCTTCAATCTGGCCTGCGTGGCTACCCTGGAAATAGCGAAGGACCAGTTCCTGCAGGTCCAAGCTCCGTTTTTGCTGGCAGAGGGTTGCAGGAGGCCATCATAGCCACCCAAGCAACATTTTCGCTGGCAGAGCACTCGGGCCCCTGACATATAGTGAAGTCGAGCTGGCCATGCCCACTCAGCTCCCAAGTTTAAACACAACCCCAATGCGGCCCTCAATGAAATCGAGTTTGACACCCCTGGCATAGAGCTTGTGAAGTTTCCTTGTGAATGCCGTATTAATATTTAGAGTGTACCAGGTTGGGTTAACAAGTTCTGCCACATTTACCCTTCTGTGTGTTAAATGTACAAATGGAATTTTTTAATAATGGTTTTCATACAGAGGGCAACCTGCAAGCCAAATAGGATAGAAATGTCTACGGTGATTAGAATTTTCAGTTTGAAGAAAAGAAGATGTATAAAAATAACCCATGCTAGAGAAACTGGGAAAAGTTGATGTTTTTTCTCCTTGTCTCTCTCCATGCTACAGCTTGGATTAATCCACTGAAATCAAAACCTGAAGATTCAATACCAATCAAACGAAATTCATCTTATGTTGTATACATCTAAACTGGGATTTGCTACCAATTAAGCAGTTTTTATAGGAACTAGAAAAAGTCATGAAGGATCAGCTATCAATGTCCATCAGTTTGCCAGGCTATTTAGAGCTCCTGAATTTAAAGCAACTTTAATACTTCAAATACTACTGCTAGGAATCTTTGTCCCTTGCCAAGGATGGGAATTTTCTGAATATTCTGCTATTATGTGATACATATTGCCAGACACAATATTACTATTATGTGATCAGATCAGATTGTTGGACTGACTGGCCCACTGGCCTGTCTAACAGGGCTTTTCTTACACCTATTGAACAAGAGTAAAATAAGAAATCCTTTGTATCTACCTAAGTGACAAATTATTAGTTACTTGTTTCAGTCTTCATGGATCTTCACTTGGTAAATCTGTTAAGTGAAAAATAAAATTTGTGTGAAAAGAAGAGAAAGGAAAAGCATAGAAACAAAACTGTCCCATTAGGGAAGTGAGCAATAAACAATTATAAATGTATCTTCCCAGTTTTTATGTAGGAAGCCTTTTGCACTCATCAACTTTCTGTTCTTACCTGAAGGCTCACAGTACCTCCACTTGTGATCTGTATTATAATTGGCAGTGAGGGAGCACCAGAGTTTCCAGCCTGAGGTACCATCAGTTGTACACTCTGAGTAAAGCTTTTTTTTGTAAGCAAAAGGGAAAAAACAAGGCTCTTTTGATTGCATATCTTCTCAGAAAATTATTGAAGACAAATGCATGTGTGAAAGAAAGAGAAAAAGCATAAGATCAAACTCTAAAAGCAGAGGAATGCAGTTCCAGTTATACTATATTCACTTAAAGCTGTGCAGTACTTGATGGCAAAAATATACTGTGGAGAATATGAAGCACAAATGTAATTCCCATTCACAACTTCTTAAACATTTTTTTTCTTTAGAATTTTACAGCAACTGCCAAAGGAAGGTGCAATCTTGGAAAAAGTTGTGACTGCTTTAAGGAGATATAGGTGGGTAGTTTGTATCTCAAAAATCCTATTAACTTTCAACTTCAAAGTGCTGCACAACCGCCTTAGTGATTTTTTTTCCTCATGATCAACAAGAAACAAAATTTAAAATTCAGACTTTATTAACTTCATTTCATCTATCTTCTATTTCCTTTTAACAACATACACAACACACCCACAAAGTAATAACAAAATGGAGATCTTAATATTAAGTAATTAGTTCAAGACTGAAACTATTAACATTAGCTAAAACTTTGATATGAAATGCAGTGGTTCTTCTTTATCTTACGCTCAATGTTGCCTGAAAAGTTAAATAATAATATACAGTATTTGCTTGTAACATTGACATTCTAAATGGCAATTAATATTCATAAAAAGTTTATATTTCTCTTTTGTGGAATCAATAAGCAGAAGGTATGAGGTGGTGATACTAGAATTGAAACTGGCCTGAAGTACAAGGACTCACTTGTAGCTCTCATTGTCTAGCAGCCAAGTCAACATCAGAGACTGGCAATATTTGCCAAGTCTTTGGCATACTAGGAGTGCCACTGTTACATTTCTTAATATTACTTTTTGTTCACCTATTATCTCAGAATATCAGACTAAATGTGTTATTATAAAGGCTTGGGACATAGCAATCCTTAAATTCTTAAATACACTTTGAAAGGATATAGTGAAGATGAATGATTGTGTAAATCACTTGTGTAAAGAGAAAATGCAGCTGCATAAAATATTGAACCAATGGTCTTTTGGTTTCAGAATCAACTCCAAGGTAGCTTACTTCCAAATAAATGTAAATAAAATTGTGCTGTGTTCCTATACCCAACCATTTGTCACCATCTGGGTATCTAGGAGCTACCTGCCTTTTTTCTTGTTTAAACGTGTATCAGCACAGAAACTCCATTTCATGTCCACATCAAAATTCTCTGTAGTGGCACACCAAAATCTCCCATTCTTCTCATTCTTCTCATCCTCATCAATGCAAGTGGTAACTTCCTCTCCTTTATAGTTGAAAGGGAAGACACAAGGCTGGCCATTGGAGTTCCCACCATATTCTGTTGAATGTAGGGAAAATAAAGCAACACTGGGAGAGAATTTGGTTCAGTTGTTCAAGAAAAAGAAACACAGCAAGAACTTAGAACTCTGGGTTGGAACTTTATATTGCATCATAAGAGTATCACTCTGGAACATTTTCATTGAGCAGAGAAGCTCCAAGAACAGAAGAGTACTTGGAATATGCCACCATGACCTCACGAAAAAGAAAAGGCCTCCCTTCTTACAAGTTTGGGAAAGGGATTAAAGGAAAAATCATTATTTAATATGTCAATTCATATGTCTACCCAATTCATACTTATGTTTTCAGGTGGCTAAGCTAATTCATTAAAAAAGCCACAACAAACAAGAAATGAACAGCAAAAAACAATATAAATATAAAAAGTGCTTGAGGCTTATAATCCAACAAACCCAAGAAACACATTAAACAGGCCATCTGATATCCCATGCCATCCAGTACAGATCTTTCACACTTTGCAAAAATCAGACTTTCTGGGGAAGAATGGCACACTGAAATGTCTCTGCAAAAAGTGGAGCTGGTGGCTGCAACTGATTATTGCAACTGATGACTTTACTGTGATTAAACTGGCTCTTCAATAATTCCTCTAACACCAAGAGAGGATTTGAGATCACCCACAAGTGCTCCAGGCAATTGCTTCTCACTCTCTTACCTTGAAAGGAGCATGATTTCCACTTGCTGTCATTATCATAGTTTGGGGTTGTGGCACACCATAGCTGATTGTATAAAGCCCCCTCTGTGGTGCAGGAATAATAGGATTTGTTCCTGTATATGAAGGGAAAACTGCAAGGGGCAGGATCTAGAGAGGAAACCCAGCAAAGAGGAAGAAGCATTGATTGAAACAATATAAGGAAAGAGTTGATGTGACAATTAAGGATGAAGAGGGATTAATTTCATTCTGTAGGCTGAAATATTCTTTTCACGTATAAAGGAAAATAATCAAATGTTCAAATTATGTACATAATATACATTAGGAGCAAAATAGCAAGTAATATAAATAAAGGAATAGAAATCACATTACTTTCATATTGTAGCATGGAAGTGAGAAATACAACACTGAAGCAGCATTTTCCAAAGGGATATTTTTGAACAAGAAACCAACATATAATAACATGGAAGTGCAGATTTGTTTATTGACAAGTTCAGTACCCAAGGCCAGAAAAGTCTAAACAAGGGGGGATCGGAAACCTTAATAGATTTATTCAGATTTTTATCTTTATTTAATTGCCACATGACAATTACAAATACTCATTAATTATGAGATAGCCATAATGATATCACTCTAATTGATAAGGTTAACCTTGCCACTTTCCTATGGAGAGAAAACCAAAAGCCTAAAATTCTGTAATTGTTATTTAGTCACTACTTTAACATCTTCCATTCCTAGTGTTTACTCTTGCAATCTAGTAATTAGCTTTTTCACTTGTTAGCATATTGTTACCTTAATGCATTTGAATTCCAAGCACTTGACTTGCTTTCTGCTGAATTGCAGTATTGTTATTTGAATACTATATACAACTTAGGCCCAAAGTTGGACCCCTCAAATTTTCTTCTTCTGCACATAGAAAAGCAGCTATAAAAATAGGTAATCACTGGAACCAAAGCATATGAAGAATGGAGATTTAATAATAGGAAGATGATATATAATAAATGGATTTTTTTTACTACAACTCCTACAACCAAGAGATGGGTTGTTTCTTGACTATTAAACTATTCTTCTTCCCAAAGCTTGCCCTTTCTTCACAAAAGTTGGGTTCAAGTTACATCCGTACTTTGTCTGGTTATTTCCATTATTTGTTTTGCTTACCTGAAGGCTCACAGTATGTCCACATAGGCTCAAAATCAAAATTACTTGAAATAGAACACCAAAGCCTTCCGTCAGATCTTCCATCTATTGTACAAGTTGAATAAAGATTATTTTCAAAGATAAAAGGAAAGATGCATGGACTAGTAGGATAATTTGCATCAAGTCCTAGAAGAAGGAAATAAAAGGAGAATGATCATTTGCCATACTATTAAAGTTCATCAAGTAATAGAGTTAATATTTTTTTAAGTGTAACCCTCAGCATATCTACTCCATAAACCCTGAAAGTCTGTCAGTACTATGGATAATGGCATGCAAGGTTATATCCTATACCATTAATTATATTAAGGAAAATTTGAGATTAATGGGAAAAATATTTATTTTTAGCTGAACCAGGACCTTAATTGCTCTATACCCTTCTATTTTACACTGCACAACTATCTTGTGCAGTAATCGCCAACTGGTGGGCCGGGGACCACTGGTCCACAATAAAATTTTGGTGGTCCACAGAGAAATGTCCCCCCCAAAGCACTCCCCCCAAAGCAATTAATCCAGGTTGTGTGAGAACACAAGGCTGCACCGCCCACATGGCCCATCCACTGGCTGGCCTCTACGGTCAGCCAAGTTACCTTGAGTAGAGCCACATGAGCTGGAACTAGAAGGTAAGACCAATGGTGGGGGAGGGAAATCTGCCCCGAGGTGGCTTGCTGACATTGGTGGGAAAGTCGGTCCATATTCCAGAGCTGCAGTAGTCACAAGGCTGGCCCTTTGGTCATCCCAAAGCAGCTCCTCCAGTCCATGGCAGGCCAGTGCACTTGGGTGGAGGAGCAGCTGCTCTGGGATGACCAAAGGGCCAGTCCTGTGACTACTGAAGCTCTGGAATGTGGGACCGATTTTCCCACCAATGTCAGCAAGCCACTGTCAGTCAAAATTCATATTAGTGGTCCGCGGGATTTAAAATTACAAGTTTGGTAGTCCCTGAGGTCCAAAAGGTTGGTGACCCCTGATCTAGTGAATAAGGGATTATAAAATTCTATCTCCCAAAATAATTAAATCTACTTTACCTTTGATTTGCTTTATTATATATAGAAATAGTTGTACTTTTGATCTGTTCTATTTTATATACAATTTTCTGTTCTATTTTATATGCAAATTCCTAACAGTTGATGCTCAGAACAAACCAAAAAAGGGATATTCTGTATAAAAACTTTTAAGTTATTATAAACCATGACTTCTAATCTAATAGTCCTCAATTTCACTTACTGGTATCAGCACAGTAGCTCCATTTCTTATCCTTATCATAGTCCCCTGTTGTAGAACACCAGAATGGTCCTTTACGGTCAGATTTGCCTGCACAGGTGTAGTAAACATGACTCATATAAAGAAAGGGGAAGACACAGGGTTTTCCTCCTGAATTGCCTCCATACTCTAGGCAAAGAGAAGAGCAATATGTAAATAGATATTAGAGCAATGTATAAATATAAATAGAGATATTGCTGTCTTTATCTAGGACCGGCGTGAGCAACTAAAGTTCTCCAGATAGACTACTATCCCCACAGTCCCATGACATTGGCTGTGCTACTTGGGACAAATGGGTGTTTGAATCATGGAAACTTGGATTGCAGAGAAGTGTTTTTTCTAATACTGAGATTGTCACCAACATAATAAAGCATAATCTAAAATGAAAAGGTCAGAGAAAAAGCTAAATATTACATATAAATATAGTGAATTGCAAATAGAATACCCAACCCTGAAGTGTTTCCATCCCTTTGCGAATCCCATTGAAGACAACCTATGATTCTCTTCACATCTGCCAGAAATATATTATAAGTCAATCAATGCTCCCTTACTAACTGTTAATGGGACAATACAGAAAAAAATTCACTCTAGAAATATCAGGCAAGATGGTATATTTGGGTGTAAAATGCAGCAAAGAGATTTTTCTTGCATCTCTAATGATGTCTAACGGTCATTTGCATTTCTTACAGGCCAGATTTGTATACCTGTATAAACGGGATATCTCTTACTAACACTGGCATGTTAACATTGTTGAGAACCTGCCAGTATAGTCATGGGATTATAGGAAATTCTGTGATACAAACTAGAATTCTGCATACTTTAAAAATGATTTGAAAGATGTGCTTCAGAATGTGTATGAATAGACCTTGTGGCTGCTCTGAGCAATGAAAACATTGCCCAGCATTATGGAGAGAGTGGCTGATAGAAAGTGTTGTGTGGCCTTTCTTTTACATTTTCCCACTAGCCGTACTTCCTGCATACAAGAAAAGTGGCTCTGGGTTTGGGGTTTTTTGGCCCATAGAGAATTGCCACCCCAAACAGAACCTGTATGCAATCTGGGGGTTCTCCTGTACTCATAACTCCTGTTCAAAGAGCAGGTGGCAGTCATGGACAGGAGGACCTTTCCACAGCTGCAGGTTGTGTGCCAGTTATGTCCTTTCTTGGACTGACAAACCCTACTCACAGTCACTCATGTTCTAGTCACATCACATCTTTTTGACTATTGCAATGCACTCTACTAGGGGCTGCCCTTGAAGAGCATTCAGAAGCTCCAGTTTATGCAAACTGCAGTGGCCCACATGGTTTTATGCAGACCTTGGTGTACATATGTACTCCTCCCCAGCAGGAGTTGCATTGGTTGTTGATTTTCTTCCAAGTACAATTCAAGGTGCTGGTTGTTTAAAGCCCTTCATGGCTTAGGAGCAGGTTATCTAAGGGACCATCTCTTGCTGGTCACATCTATCTGACCCACTGAAGTGGGGAGGCAAGGTATCCCATCAGGTCTCCATGGTGGCTCCCTTTGTCTGGAACATCATTCCCCCAGAGATTAGAATGGCCCGAACTCTAACACTCTTTTGGAAAGCATGGAAGATCTGGTTCTGCTAGTAGGTCTGGGGAACCAAGAGCAGGATGGAGCTCATTAAATGGTTGGTGTGATGTGTTGTCACTGCGGTACGGTGTGTGGTGGTTATTATATTATTTTATTAATTTATTATTTGGTTATTTTCTTTTATTAGTTTTATTTTTATATATATGATGTTTTATACCTCTTTAAGCCACTTTGAGTCACCATATGTGAATAGGTGGCAATATAAATGTTATAATAAGAATAATTATTATTAATCACATATATCATTCACAAGGCAATCCATGAAGCAGATGTGACATAAAATTAAAGAATTTGGGCAAGGATCCACAACATGAAAGAAAACAGCAGAAATTATGCAAGACCATAAAACTTCACAAGATTTTAGTATTCCCAAGACTTGTCATGTGAAGGCTCCAAAATTTTCCTTGATTTCTCAGAACATTCTAAAAATGTCTCTATGTTGCAGAGGGGAAAGAAGTTTCTGCTCCATTTTTTGTGGTTCAACCCTACCTTGCACTAATTGCAGCAGGTCAGAGTATCAAATTTAATTCAAGGACTTTCTAATATAGCTCCGAGAATGGGAGTTTGTGCAATAAGTGGTGTAGTATATAATTCCACATTTCCTAGCCAGCATACCTGTGGGACATATGAAAGGGGAATGCATATATCTGTAGTCCCAACACTTATGAAGAACCCATGTTTGAGAAGATTACATTCATCCAAAATTGCTGAATGTAGTATGGGATACCAGTTGTACTTCTTACCAGTAACAGCACATTGTTTCCACAGGCGTTTTTCATCATAGTTATCAGTTAATGCACACCAGGATATATCGTTGCTGGAACCATCTGTGGTACACGAAGGATAATATTTTCCCTCATAAAAAAATGGGAAAACACATGGTAGAGATGGTGCTGAAAAGAAAGAAAAAAAGGAAAAAGAAAACTGGACCTCTTTGAAGAAAATAGTGGTTAAAAATAAAGAAGAATGGGATGTTCAGTTCCACAAATTTGTCCTGGGAGACTAAGGAATTCTCAGGCTAACAGGCCCATGGGCCATCTTTTGGCAAAGGTTTTTGACTTGGGTCAGAAAAAATTAGAAGCAGGCGTGGCTTATGTTTGTCATCTTGAATTATTTAGAAAAATAATAATAGTGTGATGAAAATAAAATAAATAAAAATGTTTATAAGGGCCATCAATTGTTGTTCAACTGCACCACCATCTATAATGCATTTCCCACACCAGGATATCTTAAGAATATCCTGTGCTTGATGCTTATCCCGACTTTTTTATTAGAACTGATATAAGTTTATGTATTTCTTTAAAATTCTTTAAAGCAACCGTATCTTTTCCCAGAAACATTTCCCAGAAACCAAATTGAAACATTAAAAACAGAGCATTGACCAAACTGACTAGAATTATCTCTGATCGACAAGAAGGTTAAGCAAAAAATTCACTTTCCACATTAGATTTTCTTTATATACACATGCAGTACATGTATATTTATATTTGCGTTAATGAGATAAACAGAATTTAAAAGCAAGAGCAATTATGAGAGATTTTAGTCCTTACTTTTGAGACCCATAAGTAATGAGGTGAAAACCCATGTGTACATAAGGAACACTACAGAAAAGGGCATTTTCACTCTTGGTCAAGGAATCTGACAGATGTGGAAAAAATTCATTATACTCATTCTTTCTATAAGATCTGCTTAGCCACATCTTCTTCTGAAAACTGCAAAAGAAAGTGATGTTCAAACACTGTTTCAATTGGAAAATGAACAAATATCAAACATGTTAGCCCTTAGAACAACATGAAATTACTGCTCCTACATTCAGCCATGTGCAGTTAGCACGGTTAATTCAGTAAAAGCAGAGCAATGAGTATCCCAAGGATTGGCAAATTGTCAGAGGGCCAGGGTGGCAGCCGGCTACTTTTTATATGTAAGCTTCACAGGCAGAATTCCACCAGTGGAATATTTTGCAGTCTGCAGAAATTCAAACTTAAAAAGGGACCTCTTAAAATTACTGCAGATCAAATTTTTGCTACAGGGATGAGAAATTAGCTTAATAACTCCCAAAGAAAGGATCAGCCATGGTAGATTACCACATTCCCTCGGGGATCTGGGTAGCATACTTCCCAGAACTATATGGAAGTATGCTACCCATACTTCCATATAGTTCCTATACTATATGGATACTTCTTATGGAAGTAGAAGCCCTATCTTAATATAGAAACTCTGCCAATATGGATAGCAGTAACAGAAATCAAAACTTTTTGCCCAACTAAGATCAGCAAAGACCAAGAAGACCTAATCTCACCACATACCATTAAAAACAACTTGGACTTCTATTGCTTCTCTCTATACCTGTATTGACAACTATGACTGAACATCCCAGGACACACAATAATTGTCCCTCTATATATAAAAGAGAAAAGAGATAATCTTGCCAATTAGCCTGCCCAACACAACCAACAAACTTTATTTACATATAAAGAAAAGTCCAGGATTGATTGGAACAAGAAAACATACTTACCAAAGAGTAAGCTGAATTGGTTTTGATATTTTTTCATTTCTTATATAATTTTACTTTGTAATGTTTTTAAATTCCTTCTATCACACCTTCTTTGGTCTTTTACCATAATAAAGGTTGATTTAATCAGCTTAGTACAAACAACAAAGACATTCACAATATTTTTTAAAATTAATCACATTTATAATCTCATTAGCCTTTTGTGAATCACATTTCTTAGCTCACATTGCATTGGAAAAAAATGTTACATTTCTTTAAACACAGATAAATTCTTTTGGTTGCTTTGTAAATTACAATTCATTAATAACATCTGGAAGTGCTCTGGAGTCTGGACCCATGTACCCAATGCTGGTGGGGGAGTGCATTTGCTTTTAGGAATATATCTTGTTTACTTGTGTGATAAAGAAGGTTTGGGCTGGTTTTTTCAAAATCTTTTCTGTGCAATTCCTCACCCTTTAAAATAACCGATCAAACTCTGTGCCAGAAGTTGTTAAGCATTTCTGCTATCTAACTTGCAGACTCAGTCCAGGAAGATAATAACAATGACCAGAGATCATTTTAATAGATGCATGGAGTCTCTCATGCATACCCTCCATCTGCCTAGGGCTGACTGTCCAAACAATGCTTGCAGGGAAAGTGCAGGGAGTGAGGTATATAATCAGTTAATAATTCTGAAGGCCTTGTATGAAATCTGATGGAGTTAGCAAAGCTAAAGGAGTTAGCAAAGTTATATAACTCAAACTTCTACTTTAGTTTCACTTAGAACACTTATACTTATGATTTATGTTAAAAATTGATTCATTCTGAAAATCTAGTTTCCAGACAACAAACACTGAAAATCTTTGCCTGGTGTGAATTTATTGGTGATAGTATAACACAGGAACCCCAACTTGGTCACCTGTATGTGTTATAGTGACAGATTTCATATATCACAATATACCGTATTTTCTTTAATTATGACATGAAGAATAAAATACAATTTGTGGGACTGGACAACATTTTAATCTACCACTATAATTGAATGTACACATTATTTTTATTTAAGGTACAGTGAAGTTATTATTATAGTTTAACACAATAGATGAAATCTGTCTTGTCTGCAGTTTAAAAATCTTGTGGCTCATGTTGCAACCTACAGAGAAGTCAAGGAATCTAGTGGCTACACCAGAAATAAGTTCTAAATCTGGTTAGCGATAAATCTTGTTTTGTTTTTGTGGCTTAGTATGTTATGTGTATTCATTTTGTTATTAATGTTTTTAATTAATATATTAAATTTCAATTCATTTTACCATTTGTATCCCAAACATAGGTTAATTTAGCAACAAGGTTAAGCATACTGTATACAACCAGCATATGACCTTCAACCAAACATATATTCTCCCAACCTACTCATAAGCCTATCATATAGAGAAGAGTCAAAACAAAGAATAGTTCTTAGTATAAAAGGTGGGTTCTAATAAAAAAATATTCAGATTTGATATGCTTATGGACATTTGAGGGAACTCACTTTTCTGTTAGGTTTTAAACTTGGGAAGTTCTCCATCTGCTTCTAACTGTCCAACTGACCCTTAGAATTCTGCTATCCAATCAGATGTCTGGCTTGCAAAATGAGCCAATCCTGTGCTAACTTAAAAGCCAGTTATCAATCTACATGTTATGGTATCTTCTCTCAGGCTGCTGCTTGTCAGGCTGAAGCTTCTTGTGGGATATCTTTATGTGTTTTTTGTGTTGTTGGCTAGATGCCCCCCCCCCTTTTTTTTTTTGCTTTCCTTGTTTCTTATTTATGTGATATTTTGGTCAGTTTTTCTTTGAGTCTCCTAGAGTTGTTCTGGAGTCAGACAGTACCTGGATCAAATAAATTAAGATATACATGACACATTACAATGTAGACATTTGGAATATGGTTTCCGGGGGAAAAGTAAGAGACTAAAAATAACAGATGAAGTAATTTAAATGATATACACAATGATCTTCTCTCATGTTGAAGCCTGGAACAAATATTTAAATAGCACTGGGGTGTGGGGAGAGAGAATGAGTGGTGTACGTATATCAAAAGTTCATCTGAACTTTGGATTTCCGGATGCTCTCCAACCATTGATATTTGCTTGTGCAATTGTGTGGTTTCTGGGTAAGAATTCAAAACAAAGAATAAATTGTGGAAATTTTGATGCTCTCCAAACTTTGTTGTTAGCTTATAAATTTTCATTACCAAACTAGAGGACATCATTATTACACAATCACACAAGCAAGCATCTGGGCTCAGAGATTGTTAAGAACTCCAAAAATCAGCTTGGGGCTACAGATAATGTTTTCTCTTTGGGGGAATACATTATTTTTTCTCTTTCTCCCCCCCCCCCCTTCAAGTTTGATCTCATGCAATAATATTTTTTATTCTAAAATTTCTCTTCTGACTCTCTGAATCAACAGTTAATTTAATATAGCCCATTTGGTACATTGATGAAATATTGCATTTTTCTGTATCTTGTACAGAGGTGGAGAGAATTTCCTGCCTACTCTTGAAAAGGAAAAAAAATGGTAAGAATTATTTGACTTCATTGTAAATTTCTTCTTGACCACCAAATGGGAATGTAGACTGCTTTACTTGGGTCTGGTCAGTTGCAGGTAATCTTGGAACATTTGAATTAAATTGATTAAATTGTTCACAATAGTTTCAAAGGGATTTATCATTGGAGAAACACTCTGGTCAATCCTGAGAGACTTTGCAAAAAACATCATAGCAAGGGGGAAGATGCTAACTTTGCTTAAAGCATTGCTAGATTAAGTGTCTCTCTTCAGGGGGAAGGAATGTGCTCTGTTGCTTTGGAGACAGCTCTGGCCAGAGGAATGTTTATTACCGTGGCCTCTTTATTGCCTCTTCGAAGCAGCCGAGAGCAGAAGAAAGGTGAAGCCTTTCCTTTTAGCAATACAGGCAAGATTTCTGAAACTTTCTCATTGCGTTTGGAAAGGGTTTGTAATTGCATGAATACAGGGATGGATGAGAGATACTCGGTCCCTCCCTTGCTTTTACAAATTAGTTCTTTCCAGTTAGGAGTTGTAATTTGAGACACAACACTTCTTTTGCTGAAGAGAAAAGGAAGGGGAATTAGCCCCTTCCTGAAACTACGATGTATCTTAATCAGTTGTAAAGGCTTTGTCTCCCTTCCAGATGAGCATAGCAGAATCGGCTTTCTGTTTCCATTTAAAAACACAAACAAGAGTTCTCAAACTTTCCAACTGAGGTTTGATTATCTTTTGAGAACTGGGAAATTTCTAACTCTCCTTTTTATACAAATAGAGTCTCTGAGATAGCAGGAAGATAAATTGAGCAGAGAAGAGGAGGGTGGGTGGGTAGAAAGATCTCTTTGTTTGTAGCATGTGGGGAACTCCAGCCCCTCCCAACATCCGATGCTCACAGAGAGAGAGAGATGGGACATGCAGGTTTATATTAACGTTGCATATTCACTCCTGGCTTCAATATTTCTTCGCTTTATCATAAATCCAAATTATACAGTTTTATAGAGATGGGTTTCAGAATGATCTTTTATTTTTCTGTATCTTGTACAGAGGTGGATTCATAAACTGTACAGATGCAGAGAGATAACTCAACAAGACGTCCATAACAAAGAACATTTATTGGTTCATCGGGTATCCTCATAACTCACGTTTGTGATGAAGTTCTTCTTTTATGACCAATCCTTTGTATATCTGCCTTGTAAGTAAAAGATGGTTATCTCCTAACCCATCTCATAGCGGTAGAAAGGCTGCTATCAGTTCATGAGTCCAGGCAAGAATGGAGGGAAACCTCCCCCAACCCCTCAAGGGTCAATTTAGTGACCAATCAGGATTACAGATGTGGCCACATGACATGAACTACATTTCCCAGGATACCTTTAACTACATTTACCATGATGCATTCCCTTAAGGGGACAGCTCATAATTCCTAAGTAACTATCCAATTCCCATAGACTGGCTGGGACAGCACATGCATCATTGTGCTTTTTCTCAGAATTTCTGGTTTTGCTGATCTTTTCCCATTGAGCATCCTTTTTCCCCACAGAAAATCAAATAACATTTACAATTTCACATCCTGAATTGATTTATCACA